AATTTTGAACAATCTTCTGAATGAGGACGTCCAACGAGCAAACAAGCTGTTCCGTGTACCCTACATTCAATTGTGGTGATACTCAATCCAGGAACACGACACACGGTATTATTTTTCTAATCCAGCGGCGTTCATTGTCCATATGCAGGGAAATCAAATGTTGTTTAATTGAGCGACGTAAGACCACCAGCTACATACCATGGACTTTACAAAGTTGTTCAAAGACTTGGTAATAAAATTAGTAAGGGTGGAGATTGCATCTTAATTGAATCTATAAGGCTTGTGAGCAATTTTCAAAGGGGTATGAAGTTGAGGTTTTCCGGGAAATAATTTATCCTAAATGGCGTAAATACTCCGACCCAGATGGGCTGCTTCCATCGAGGTTTCAGCATGAAGGTTCGGCTTTGGTCTTGGAGTTGCTGAAACTCCTGGGCTCAATATAGGAGAGCAAACAGGTTCTAACCTAATGGTGTCAATCAGTCATCTTACCGATTTACAAGAAACGTGACAGATTCTCTTGTGGAAACCACAGAGTTATTAGTTCAATCAATATTGCCTCGCTGCGATCATAATCCGTCGCTCAAAAAAGACCAAAGACATTTTCTATCGTATTTCTAGAGTATCGATAAACAAACGGGAAGCACAGAACATGGGGAAAGAGAGATTGATAAACTGAGCTTACTCACAAGCCACACGTATATTTGATTTTTACCGGGCCCATTTTAGATAGTGCAGATGCATCTTTCAAACTGTACTCATTAAAGGGCGTTTTTAATCCCAATATAGTTTAAGGAACGGGTGCTTTAATGTCCATTTAACCCAAGATACTTTCCATACCTTCGGTAATATTGAAATAATTGACGTGACAAGATCTATACATATAACGGATGCCAGGTGGCACAACTGACAAACAATGATTCACAAATTATATGAAGATCGATAAATAGAAAACAGTTCCGTCTCACACATTCTATACCAGCTCACCTGCAGTTGCGGTGACGTATACATAAGCAGAACAAACCGTCAGCTGTCACAACGGATGGCCAAACATATTCCAAAGTGTCAAGTGGGAATTCGTCGTGTATATAGCAAATGAAGCATGAAGCGAAAAGCTCGGAAGCACTGGACAGCTGTTTCGACCTGGTTGGGTCTCATATTCCAAAGTGGTTGGTGAAATCGATGACACAACCGACAAATGATGGCCAAGTGATTGCAAGAAACCCAGGATCATCTGTTGCAAAACATACCGTGGCAACAAGACACACAGTTGACCCCAATTCGTCTTTCAAACCACTATTACGTAATCGAAATGCTAAACTTTTGGCGATTAGTGAAGCACTGCTTATTCGATTACATCACCCGACCCTGTGCGCACAGAAGTTTTTGATACAAGCAATCCACTTACCGTGGAGCTGACCTTCTACTTCTAAATTTAGTAATCATTGTATGCTTCTACACGTCTGTTCACCAAAATTGATTAATCCCATGTGCTCTATATGTGCCTGTTTGTTTTAAGTCAGCGACTGAGAAGATTAAAAGAAATGTTAGCATCTCGCGACATTTGTCTTCTTTCTGTTTTGATGAAATAGAAACTAGCCAGGGCATTTATTTTTGAGTAAAGACGTGATGGAAACTAAATAACACTTTTGCATTTTCTCCAACATGTTCTTGCAAGGTGTCACTTGGATCTCAAATGCCGCTCGTATTACTTCGAGGAGAACAAACAGTACTGCATTCACACTCAGTTTGTGGACATGAGTTTGGGTCGAACTGTGAGCAGTCTGGAGGCCACACAATGGAATCGATATACTCGACCAATGTGGAGAATGGATATCCGTGGATGAGGGAGACCTCACCTTGAGTTGCGCCGAGGC